ATGAGCAATTGATTATACTTGATTATCACATGATTATATTACTGTGGCATTTGATATATCATGACTTGGCATATGTCTAGTTATATTGCTGTTGTACTGTTGTTTACATACTTACATAGTATGTTTTAAGGAAACTATACTTGTTTTACAGCGAGGGGTTACTATATTCAAAAATAAAGGTTTTCTTACAAACATTGTTTTGTTGACCCACTCAAATTTGTTTTTCGCCTCTCCATGACCTAGATAGTTGTGCTCTTTGTAGCATTCGAGGAACCTCCAGCAGTTCTGACATTATCTCTATTTAGAAGTATAAACTTATCCACTGTTGTGTAATAAGTGTACTTTAGCTATTTTGACTACTTTACTGTAGTCGTACTGTCTATTATGCTCTGAATAATTGTAGTGGGTTCTTCCCACGACTGCGCACTCTTTCACTATTTAGTTTAAATTAGTTCTAGTTTGGTTTTAATTTATTCACTTTTTCACATCACTTACCCTTATGGTTACGTCACCTCACGATGACGGCCAGCATGCTTGGACAGTTGGACCTCCTAATTAAGGTCAGGGTGTGTCAATTTACTCCTCTACTTTCTTTCTTCTTACCTTTTCTTTTGTTAATTGTGATTCCAAATTCTTTTTAAACTGTCATACATTTAACACACACACACACATAGTGTGCGACCTTTATCTAGTATTTTTGTAATGTTTATGTGTTTTTTTGGGAAAGAAGGTTACCAGAAAGTCTGGCCACCTATACAAATTATAAGTAGTTATCAAACAAAGTTGTAATAGACGCTGACAAAATTCCCAACAATATCGGACAAGATATTTTTCTCTTGTGGAAACGAATTGGCTCCAGAGATGACACAAAATATAATCTACTACCTATTAATAAAACTCTCTTTGTCAACAAAATAAATTATAAAGAGGCAATTTGATATTCTATTACGAAATACACATTCTGCCTTTCTTGGAGTTTAAAACAGGTCACAATTAATATATTGATTAAAATTGCAACAGTTCTACTAAAGTTTTAGTGTAATTTAAGGTTTTATATGAGAAGTAAAATAAAAATCATTAGTGGGCCAACCTCCAGAAAAAGCTGAGAGCAAAAGTTGTCATAAGGGAGAGGGGGAAAGAGAAACCATTTGGTTTTTCTTCCTCCCAATCTCTCCACTCCCTCGTTTTTCTTTTTCTAGTTATTGCTGTCAATTCCAATTATGAAATACGCTCACGACGACGAGTTTACATAATTAGGATGAGTTGTACCACAAGAATATTAAACAAGGGTACATTGAGAATCCAGGGAAAAAACACCTTACAGTAAAATCTAGTCCAACAATTTTTAGTCCCAAAATAACTAAATATAACTTGCAGGGTACTAAACCTCCGTCTACTTTTTGGACTCTAAAAAAGTATAACGCGATTCTACTCTTCATAAGCTTCCTTTCCATATAAATTTTGTGAAAAATGGTGGAGAAATTATCAAGTTATGAAGGTTTGAAATTTTACCCAGAAACCGATGAAAATTTCCAAAATCCGGCGAGTTCAGACGACGGCGACCGGCGAAGACCATTGAAGAAGACGACGGAATATTCTAACGACGTCAAGTAACGTCGTTAAACTCTGTTAGTTATTTAACGGAATATTCCTGATGGACGTCAGGGATCTGCCTGCGCATGGTGGCGAGTATAGCTGTGTCTTAACCGACATGTAAGGGTACATCCGACCTCCGATTTGCTTTCTGTAAATTTATGTAGGTCCGTGACATCGAGTAGATCAATTTCATATATTTAAACCCTAGGTTTTAGCAAACTATGGGGGTTTTATTTAAGTTTCCATGTATGTATTTTAATTAATTTAAAAATAGTTATTTCACATATAGGGGAAACGTATCCCGAGGACTTGAGGGGTCATGCAAGGCTCGGAGGCTATGATCCGACAACGTATTTGTGAGTGGGCAGATTGTTTTTATACCTATATATAGTTATAGTTTCCATAAATGTGTATTTACTTCATTTTTACGCTTATATTGCCAAGTATCGTTATTGTGATATTAATTGTGATAAATGCTGCTATATGGGTGGGATATTACTGTCATGACATTCATACATATTTTGTACATGCTCATCTTGCTGCACCCCGGTGTTAGTACTCCGCCCAAGACCAGGGTCAGTCCTTCAAGTGTATGTTCACATCAACATCATTCGTTCGCCTTGGATCCAAGTTAGGTGCCAGTCCTGTCGTACAAATTGCATTAGGCAATTCCGACTCATATGTGACCGCACCTCAACGCCAGTCGTTACGTGGTTGTAGTACTAGAGCGTATTGATTACACTCAATCCTGTCGTGCATGTTGCATTATGAAACTCCGACTCGTTTGCTAGCATAGATAGATGAGCAATTGATTATACTTGATTATATTACTGTGGCATTTGATATATCATGACTTGGCATATGTCTAGTTATATTGTTGTTGTACTGTTGTTTACATACTTACGTAGTATGTTTTAAGGAAACTATACTTGTTTTACAGCGAGGGGTTACTATATTCAAAAATAAAGGTTTTCTTACAAACATTGTTTTGTTGACCCACTCAAATTTGTTTTTCGCCTCTCCATGACCTAGATAGTTGTGCTCTTTGTGGCATTCGAGGAACCTCCAGCAGTTCTGACATTATCTCTATTTAGAAGCATAAACTTATCCACTGTTGTGTAATAAGTGTACTTTAGCTATTTTGACTACTTTACTGTAGTCGTACTGTCTATTATGCTCTAAATAATTGTAGTGGGTTCTTCCCACGACTGCGCACTCTTTCACTATTTAGTTTAAATTAGTTCTAGTTTGGTTTTAATTTATTCACTTTTTCACATCACTTACCCTTATGGTTACGTCACCTCACGATGACGGCCAGCATGCTTGGACAGTTGGACCTCCTAATTAAGGTCGGGGTGTGTCAATTTACTCCTCTACTTTCTTTCTTCTAACCTTTTCTTTTGTTAATTTTGATTCCAATTTCTTTTTAAACTGTCATACATTTAACACACACACACACACACATGGTGTGCGACCTTTATCTAGTATTTTTGTAATGTTTATGTGTTTTTTTGGGAAAGAAGGTTACCAGAAAGTCTGGCCACCTATACAAATTATAAGTAGTTATCAAACAAAGTTGTAATAGACGCTGACAAAATTCCCAACAATATCGGACAAGATATTTTTCTCTTGTGGAAACGAATTGGCTCCAGAGATGACACAAAATATAATCTACTACCTATTAATAAAACTCTTTTGTCAACAAAATAAATTATAAAGAGGCAATTTGATATTCTATTACGAAATACACATTCTGCCTTTCTTGGAGTTTAAAAACAGGTCACAATTAATATATTGATTAAAATGCAACAGTTTTACTAAAGTTTTAGTGTAATTTAAGGTTTTATATGAGAAGTAAAATAAAAATCATTATTGGGCCAACCTCCAGAAAAAGCTGAGAGCAAAAGTTGTCATAAGGAGAGGGGGAAAGAGAAACACATTTGTTTTTCTTCCTCCCATCTCCTCCACTCCCTCGTTTTCTTTTTCTAGTCTATTGCTGTCACATTCCAATTATGAAATACGCTCAAGATCGACGAGTTACATAATTAGGATGTAGTTGTACAAGAAATATATAAACAATGGGTACATGAGATATCCAGGGAAAAACACCTTACAATAAAATCTAGTCCACAATTTATGTCCAAAATAACTAAATATAACTTGAAGGGTACTAACCTTACTCTCAATTACATTGTCCACCACAATTACATCACTTGAATCCCAACATCGTGAACAGATGTACTAGGTTTATGACAAAACCCGTAAGCAGTGAAACTCGTGCGGTAGACAAATAACACAAAACATTTGTGATTGTCAAACAATCTCATATTTCATGATTCACTATTATGATTCTCATCACACGTCATTAGAGATTTCAATCAATCATTACACAACCCATTATAGTGCTGGAATGACACACCTTCATAATACTCATGCGCTCATGTGGGAATGAGATCAATATTTATTTCATCATTGCATCTATTTTGCGTTAATTAGGAATGAGTCACATCCAAATCTGCTTCTTGCTTGGATAGCACTCTCGGAAACTCGATTGACCTACATAGGTGTTCAATCATCTCTTCTATGTATGTTTATTATATATTATGGGCTGGTTTGGTATTGCTGTGTTTTGAAAAAAAAACTACTTCTGCTGTGTTGTGAAAATAAACTCATTTTTGCTGCTTCACATTTTCAGCTTTTTTTTCACCAAAAATTGTGAAAATAAACTGTTTTTAAGTGTTTACCAAACACCTTTTTGAGCTCAACTTTTTTTATATCAATTTTTTATAAAAGCACTTCAGTACCAAACCAATACTATATTAGAGGTATTGTGTGTGTGTGTGTGTAATAACATTATCGGCATTCAATCATCTCTTCTAAATGGTAACTTATACCTTGGATTCAGTTAGTTTCATTCTGTATTTAGTTCTGGAAAGAAAAAGACGTTGCATGAAATTACTTTATTGATTGTATATTTGTCCAGACACTTCAATATTGCAGGAGTGAGCTTCTGAAATTATTCCTTATTTAGGAATCTTTCAGGACACCTCTATTTTTGTCCTTGTAATAGCAAAAGCTAATAATTCAAGAACAAGTTGTTATTTAATTAATTTCTTGTTTTTGAGACGCAGTCTTGGAGTTTCTATCTGGAAAATATTTTCTGCAATTCTGACACCGGTTTTTCAATGAAAAATTTCAGAAGCTGGGGGTGTGGTCGCAGTTGCTGCATGCAGGGAACCCATGGATTTCTCAAAAGGGAAATATCTTGATCTTGATTAAGATCCACCATGGATGAAGTTGTCTTCCTAACAAATGTTTTCGGAAGCAGCAACGTTCTGCGTTAGTATTTTGATACAGTGTCTTCTGTGTCTAGGATATTTGTTCTCTTCGGCCATTTTTGCATATATCGGTAACTATATCTTAGTTTTACAGTTTGCATTTTTAACAATTTAGTCTACAGTTTGTATTTTGAAAGTTACTTATCCAAACATACGGTAATGAACAAGTGATGAAGGACTTACTTATTTTAATTCTACTGTTTTGTGCAGATGCATAAGTTTTCTTCATCACTAATCTATCTTCTACCTTCAACTTAACGAAATTTCTTCCCATATTTCTTCACCGTGCCTTGAATCTAATCAGAAGTTAGAGAGGAAAGTTGGACGGGTAATCGCGGGGGTGTCTTTGAATTGTGTCTCTGAGCAGTTTCTCCTGCTCGCGGAGATCGGAAGAGGGAGAGTCATATACATCTGTGAAAATGTCAGCAATTGGAGGTTTGTCAACTTTTTCTGCTTCTTGGATTGCATGTAATATCTGCATTGCAACAAAACCGCATAAACAATTATTCAGAAAACACGATTCTCATATTTGGATCTTACACCTTCCATCTGTTCTGTTCAACAACATGTTCTGAAGCGTTTCTTCCAAAAAGAAGTAATAGTACGTCTTACCTGCTTTCTCGCACTGTTTCTGGCCTCTAACTCTTGCTTATCACTCCACCAACTATTGTTTTCCATCCACTTTCTAAATCGAGATACAGGGTCTCGTTCCATTTTCCACCATTCAATCTCTTCGACTGGACGATACTTCGTCGAATCATCTGAAGTGGAATGGTGTCCTACTCGATATGTTAATGCCTGTCAATGGAAAAGATCGAAACCAAACATCAAAAGTTGAAGAATATGAGTTTCAACAATGTGGCTCACAAGGCCAGGAAACCAAAAAAAATCCTTTTCTTTACCTCAATTAAGATTGGTCTCTGTTCTCTGATTGCCATGTCACGGGCAGCATGAACTGCACCGTACACAGCAAGTGCATCATTACCATCTACTCGGATGCTTCGAATTCCATAAGCCCGGCCTTTGACGACAACGCCATCACCTGCCCAAAGAAGAGGAATAAATTATTACTTTGCTTCTATGCATCAGCACTACGTTTGATAGAAATTGTAAAAATACAAGCAGAGAGATGGAATACTCCGAAACTGGTCTGATGTAGGTGTACTGATAGCCCATCCATTGTTCCGACAAAAGAATATAACCGGAGCCTCCTTAACAGCCGCAAAATTCAAAGCAGCATGGAAATCACCCTAACATAATTTGATTCATCAGAAAGGAACAACCAAAACCAATGCCCTCTAACTTATAGGGACGCCCCTCCACAAAAACAGTGAAATGCTGGGCGTCAATGGGATAAATGCAGAGGCTATAACAAGATTTTGAATCAACAGAAACATGAGGTACTTAATAATCTTGTTCGCCGCTTTTAATTATATTCGCCCAAGGCTATTAAAAACGTTGGAGGTGTGAGCACTTTTAGGATAAAATTCAGTGGTAGTTTACCTCGCTTGTGCCACCATCACCAACATACGCGACCACACATGCATCTTTCCTGTCCATCTTTAAAGAATATGCAGCACCAACAGCCTGTGGAAGTTGTGTGCTGCAAAGCAATATAAATTATTTGTGGTGTGACCTTAATCATTTTAGTGAAGCATTTGAAAATGGTGTACATATCAGCCAAAAATAATCTCCGACATAAAAAATTTATATCTTACGCCACGGTTGATGCTATAGTTACATAATTGAGCTTGTTAGATCCATAATGGATCGGCATCTGCCTGCCTTTCCCATAATCAGCTTTGTTACTGAAACACTGGTTTGCAAATTCTTGTAGAGTGAAACCGCGCCACAATAGCACTCCTGCCTCCCTGTACTGCATACATGTCAAAGAAAACTTCTCTCAGCACCTCTCATGATAAACTATTGAATCAACTGATGAGGAAAAAGGAACTGAAATCTTAATGAGTAGGAATGCAGGTGTGGCGTATTGAACTAGAAAGGATATTATAGAAAGTTCTTATATATGCGTATATGTGGTGGAAACCTGAGGAAAGACAATGTCGTCAATGGTGAGTGCTGCCGCAGATGCAATATTGGTGGCCTCTTCACCAACTGTGGTCAAATAGAACGAAATCCTTCCTTGCCTTTGTGCTTCATAGAAAATGGTGTCCATGGTCTGAAGAGTAACCATGTTGGTATACATTTTCACAGCAACTTCCTTATTGACCTGTTTAAATTGGTAATATATAAGTCGCAAGGTTACTTCCTACGGGTTATATTATATTCGTGTTCGTAGAAAAGAAAATGGAAACTCATTATTGGAAGCGAGACAGACGGAATTTGCAGTACCTCTACATAGTTGCTGGACAAAATTTGGCTCCCATTGTCGTCAAGGACGCGATAACAGCATTCCCGCTCCTCAGCAGTCTCGGATATGAACCTCATTTCAGGAGTGAACTTGACCTTTCCTTCGGGAACACTAAAGCCTGTAGTGAAGAAGCGATATTCTTCAGCGATTATATGTGTATATATGCAATGTGCAAGCTCACGGGGCCTCTCGGAAGCAAATTTATGAAATTACGCAAGAATGTCTCATCTTGTAATTCATCCAAGATATTAAACACCACCTCAATGGTGCCTTACTTGGTTCCTAAAGTGCAGTACTAAATCTCTCGGAAGTAATAACCGCAAGAGTGTTTTAGCAAGAAGGTAAAAGTGCAAACTCTTTCACGGCTGAACATAACAGATCACGTGGCCCATCGGAGTCATTCTTTTAGGTAATGATCCATCAATTCAATGTTGGATCACTCATCACGGAGCAAAATTTGACAAGAACATCTTTCGCTTCTAGTTTGCTATATTTTTGCTTCCGCTAAACTAGTCTAAATTCCGCCGCCTGACTCTGTCCTAAATCAGTGCTGCATCTCAACATAATCTAGTTCTTGTATAGAAAGAACAGGAAATGAATGCAAGCCAGACGCAATCAAACTGGAAATTGAAGAGTAAACTCATAATTTACAACAGTAAGCTACCTGATTGTGATTGCGATCAGTCGTATCCGAATCCGGCATCTTTTCCGCATTGACGGATTCAAAACGGCGAGAGCAGAAGTTACTGAAATCTCCGGCTGCCGGGATTCGGAAAATTTGAGGAAATGAAGCAGTAAGTGGAAGTGGAGATTTTGGAGTCCAAGAGGCGCGACCGAACGATGATGATTTGAAATGCTTGATAATGGTGCTACCTGATTTCCTCATCATCTTCTTCTTCTGAAAATGTCCAACTTCACAGGGAGAGAGGTAGGGTTTGTTTAGCTGTCAGTGCATGGACTGTCGTGGGAGAACCAGTGCTCCACTTTGTACTACATGGAATTGAAGATAAGAGTGCCAAATCAGTAGGACATATAAAACAGCCGTTTCGGAACCAAACTTGTTTGATTACTATGGACCCATTGCCCACTACCAAAAGGGATCGATACCCATCTTACAACTCAGATCCCACGTGTCTCTTCTTCGTGTTTAACAATAAATTATTATGCGACGTATCCCTTCTTTTCAATCCATCAAATCAAATAATTGCGTCATTGAAATTTGATTCAACGGTTATAAACAGAAATCCATTTTAAATGTTATAATAACTTTAGTTGTTAGATAAAATTTTAATAACACAAATTCATTGATTTGGTGAATTAGGAAAAAGAAATCCGAATATTATTATTTTCTATTATTAAGTGATACAGTAATACCACCTGACATTGCCGAGTGGTAGTATATCTCGACTCATAATTAGCCATCCGTACTGCTAATACAAATCGTCAACAAACTTAAAATTCTGCCGTTTAACAGCCAACACCACGTTAAAGGGTTTTCCTTTTGTTCGGGGGGTTAATTAATCTTTATGGCTACTCCGTCGCTGTCGCCGTCTCGAGATTTGACCACTTCCTTGCGGTCGCATGCTTTTGAATAAAATTGAAATTGCAGATGTTTGATAGAAATAAGAACTTTCTTTATTTTTGCCGTCGTAGATTATGATCAAGCATAAAATTGATGACTTATTTCTCAAAATTAAGAATTTCTTAAAGAGGATTGAAGAGGATTTGATAGTAACCGAAGCAATTGAAGAAATAGTCAAGAGTTGAGGCGCATCGAATCATCGATGGCTGTTTGTTTTCAATTCAAACAGTGGGCTGGCTTCCACCATCTTCTCCGATTAACTGGATTTGGGATTTATCCCATCTTCTTGATGTCTTTCATAATTATACACTTATAGAAAATATTATTGCAGAGAAATTGCAGATGCAAACGTAAGGCACTTGCTACCAGTCTCGCCACCGTCAGTTCGTTAGTCAAGCTTTTGGGTAGCGTCGGCAATATGGTGGTTAACCACCTTGTCTAGGGTCTGTTACTTCATAATTAACTGCAGAAGTTTGTGTATTAATGTCCACATGGCAAAATTTGAGTGGAGACTATAGTACCACTCAGCCATATGCCAGCTGGTGGTACCATATCATAGTATAATTTCTTGTGTTTAACAATGAAAAATAATAACCAATTATACTACGATTTTTTAGATTAATATAACTCTTTATTTTGGTTTTTAAAATTTAAAGTTAATGAAAATGATCCTGATTTGTTCATCATCAATAATTTGTTAAAAAATCTCTTTTAAAAAAAATAAAATGACATAAATACCTTTAGTTTTGTCAATAATTTTAGGCATTGAATAGATTAACATTGTTCTTTAATACTCTGGCTAAATTTCAAGGATGGAAGAAGGTTAGAACCTCAAATTTTTAGACAAAATTTGGGTTTCAATTCCAACCATTACAGTTGGTCTGAATAGTAGTTGTTGGGATAGGAGATCAGTACAAATCTAACTCGTGCGCATAAATATGATTATTATCTGCAACTTTAGAGCCAATTTTTCTTTTTCTTGGAGAATAGATTTGTCTTGTGATGAACTTAAAAAATCTGGAGTATCATGTGTTCTCCGTGAGCACCTGAGCATCAAGGTTTTAAAAACATTAGGCGCTAGTCAGAAGGCAGATTGGGGGGCAAGCACTTAGGCGGATTTATGTAAATTTATAGTATATCTTGTAAATAAGTGATTATTTACACTTAAAAAAAAATACTTGTATGAATAATAAAAGACTGATAAAATGCAAAAATAGAAGTATAAGAATACACAAAATATATACATCTAACAAGTTCAATATGTAAAAAATAGTAAGCACGTAATCATGATGAGGAGTATTCTTGGATGATAGACTAATTGTTCTTGTTCATGATCCTTGCATTGGATTGGTATCTAGTTTGTTCATGATCCATTTCCATAAGTATACCACCATGAAACTAAAAATGAAAAAAAAATACACAATTAATAATAATAATAATAATAAATCTAACCGCCTAGGACCACCTAGCTCCAGACCGATTTTTCAAAACGATTTGCACTAAATTGCGGCAAGCCTTCACCGCCTAGGCCAACTTTTTAGAACACTAGTGAGCACACTAGAAAGTCCATGCATTGGTTTCAATAGGGAGTATCTCCATTTTTTTCCTAAAATCAAATTGATTGATAAGAGAATTGTTTAAGACTATCTTCAATCCTTAGGTTAAAACCTACAATTTTAAGCCCATAAAATTTAGATTTTAACTAGAAACAACTTTTGTACTCCAACCTTTATGGGTTAAAATTTTAGCCCTAGATCATTAAATAATGAATTTAGGCTTTTTTTTAAGTAACCTTTTAAAAGAAAAAATTATGTAGATTATCATAATTTTTTATGAACTAAAAATATTTAGATTCTGATAAATATTGAAAAATCACTAACCGACACCATGAAACTTGTGAAACACTATGAAAGAATATGAAACACATAAAAGAATTTTTTTTTTAATTACTTTAGCTGTTGGATTTAAATTTGGACCCTTACATGTTTTTTTTACCGTTGGATTTCATCAAATTAGATTTTAACCGTTGGATTCAATAAATTTATAAATATAAAACTAAAAAATATATACATATATGGTGGACCAGCCCCACTAACCAAGGGAATCTTAGGCTAAATTTGGCCTAGAAATAAGTTTTGGATTTTAACTCATATTTGACCTAAAGGTTGGAGCAAATTAAGATAAGTTTAGAATCTAAAATTTGATTTTTACTCCATTTTAAAAGAAGCATTTTAAAAAAGACTTTTAAATAATTAAAAACGCTTTTTAAAATATTTTAAAATAATTGTACACATTTATACTAGGGTTGGGCAAACGGATCCTGGACCCACGGGTAGGGGCGGGTAAGGGCCGGGTCCAAAATTTCTAAACACAAAACGGGGCGGAGCGGTTCGGATATACCATATTAGCGGGGCGGGGCGGATCTTGAAATAGAAGTGGACGGGCCCCCGGCCCGGCCCTGTTTCTAGAACGAATAATAGAAGAAAATCAAGAAATTATTTCCTCCTGGTCCTCCCGACTCCTCTCATTTCACAGTTCACTCAGACCTCTCTCCTCCTAACTCTCTCCGATCGTCCTAGCTCCATACATCGCTACCCTCCGTCCGTTGCCATCATCATCAGGCTTCGATCTTCTTTTCCTGACTCACTCTCTGGAAATCAGTTTCTCTCCCTCCGACGAACAACGAAGTCGAACAACTCGTGTACCCAGCAAGGTAAATATTTTCTTCTGCTTCCTTTCATTTGCTGCGATTTTCACATGGACCTTGCTTGTTTTTTGGTTGTGATTTGATTGAAATGGTCATCTGGGTCTGTTTTTATTTGATTTTTGGAGCTGGGTTTTTGTTCTTTTGGGATTTAGTTTGGTTTCTCTTGTGAAATGTGTTGGGGGTGAGCTGGATTTGCGATGAGTGAGTTCTCTGGGGTGAAGGTTGATTGAATAGGGCAATGTTATTGGTGTGCTGGGTTTACATTTTTATTTTCAAAATGAAATTAGGGTTTTCTAGATTTAGGGGTTTTGTTGAGTTCTTAAATTAGGGTGCTCATAGTCCTCTGATTCCAGGTCCCAGACCATCATCGATTCACCATCGAGAACACTGCTACCAACATCATGCTAAAATTTAGGAAATTCTGAATTAGGGTATTTTTATTTATGTGAATTTTTGGTTTAGGAATTTAGGATTTTTTAATTAGATTTGTAGATGCTATTCTGGGTTCTCAAAGTGAGCAAGACCCCAATTGAAAATTCATGTGGGTTCTGTGACTGTGTGCTTTTCCCAGTCTGCGTTTTGACCCCAATTGAAAATTCATGCTAAAATTCGTTTTTTCTTGTCCATTTTTGTATGATTGTTAGGTTGATATGGATGGTTTTGGGATTTTTGGTTGATTGTTTGAAATATTGGAGTTTTGGGGATTTTTTGGTGTTGATTAGGGGTAGGGGTTTTTGATTGTTGATAGGGATTGTAAGTTTCGGGGTTTGGGAATTGTTTTTGAGGTTAGGATATGTTTTATTTCCCGAGAAAACTTGTGAAGAAGATGGAAGGAGTTCTAGTTTGGGATTTTTTTTTTTTTTTTTTTGTTCATTTTTATGGCCCTGCGTAAAGATTCACAGCCACTTGACTGAATTACTCCGCTGCTGTGCTCGTTGGGTTAGTGTTAAGGGATTGTGTTATGCATGCTGTGGTTGCTTTCCCACTACAATTACTGCCACCCAGTTGCCTACTTTTTATCTCTCATTTATCTTTACCTGGTAAGAATGTTACCATTCACTTATGCCCTTACATTTTGTTTTCATTCATCTTTCATATATATACATTTGAAACTCGCAGCATTAGGGTCTTTCGCCTTCGATACGTTTTATCAGTGTTATTTAATGATTATTTCTGTTAAGGGAAACATGGTATGTAATATAATTTGGTAAATTGGTATGTGCTAAAAAGGATGTGATTGAAGTGAACTTTTCTTGCACTTGTGAAGGTTCATGATAGGTACATTACGAGATTGCGGAAGAAATTACAGTTTGAGGAAAGAAAACAGGCTAATAAGAGACGGGTAGTTTCTTACTTTTCCCATTCTGCATTTTCAGTTGTTATTAATTGCTTTATTGGTTAAAAATTATGCAACCTGAAATGTAACCTGAAATGTAACTCGGTTTGTGATTCGGGATACTAGTTTAGGTTCGGTATCCCATACCGAACCAGCCCTAGGTATTCCTGTTTTCGTTCATCAATAAGAGATTCTGAATGCTTAAGACTTAAAGGTTACAAGTGACAAATGAATTTGAGATTCTTTAGTGTTTAGACTTGAATTTTTACAAGTGATGAATTTGAGATTCTTTTTAAGAGTCAAATGTCCCGCTCATATTGTTTCTTCCATAAGTTTTCTTGCTATAAGCTCCTAATACCCGTGTCTTGGTGTTCCCTTAGGGTACTTTCTCCCAAGCTGAGCTCCATTCCTTCTTTAGACATTCCCAAGGGCTGAAGAAGCCAAGAATCACTGCTACTGAAACTGAAAGTTTCCTAAAATCCCAAAAAAAGTATGGAAGGATTAGAACTATTGAAGGAACTGGCAGAACAATGGAAGAAACAGGCAGAGCAATGGTCATCTCACGCCCTTCAATACTTTCATCAGGTTCCGCCCGAGCAGATTTATGCTGCTATAGCGGTCTTGCTATTCACCTCATTCTTACTCTTGTTGGGTACGTACTCTTGTAATTTATTTATTTTCAAAAGAGTCCACAGTAATCTATATATTTTCTTTATCTCTGTGTTGTAGTAAGGTTGTTTAAACGCCCAAAAGCTAATACCATACTGCTGAGTGGGCTTAGTGGCAGTGGGAAGACTGTTCTTTTCTATCAAGTAAGCGCTGAGATTATTGGATTTTGTTCTTCTAAACATTATATGAATCACTGCTTTGTAGACTCAATAGTTGATCCAATTTTCTAAATCGTTCATTAGAGTGACTAATGTCATACTTAGTCTTTAATATGTAATGCAAACAAAATTTATCTAGACCATATGACTGGTTATTTGCTCTATGTCAATTAGAAACTTGATTGGGTTGGTCCTGTGCTGATGTTGTATCCCTATCTTTTTTCTGATATAATTTGGAAGTCTACGTCTGTTTGAGATAATTTGTTGTTTAATGCTTGGAAAGTAATATATATAGAAATTCTAAATGCCTTTTATTAATATGTCCATCTTTCCCTGTTTCAAGTTACTTTGGTGATCTATTTATGCCTTAGAAATGTTCATCTAACTTTTATGCCATGAGTTGATGCACATGCCAGCTTCGGGATGGCTCTTCACATCAAGGTACTGTCACTTCCATGGAACCGAATGATGGATATTTTGTGCTCCATTCGGAAAAATCAAAGGTATATTTCAGCCTCTTGTGCTCGTATGCAAATAACTATGTTCAAGCTATATTCCTTGTCTGTTTAAATGAGGGCAGAGTTTAACTTATCTGTTTGCTTTTGATATGTAGAAGACATTAGCTACATCATTTTCTTCCCTTTCTTTTGTACTGTTGTTCTGGTTGACTGTCAACTTGATCATGCTCACCCGTCTATTGGTTTTTAATGACAGGGTGGAAAGGCAAATCCTGTTCATCTTATCGATGTTCCTGGGCATTCTCGCCTTAGAGCCCAACTAGATGATTTTCTGCCTCAAGCAGCTGGGATAGTATTTGTGGTTGATGCTTTGGAGTTCTTACCTAATTGCCGTGCTGCTTCTGAGTGAGATTTCCTCTTTTCAGTAAAAAAGCTATAATATGATATTGAGCAATGGCTACTCTGTTTCTATGTGCTTACATCCATTCTAGAGTAATAAAAATGCTAGTAACAAATGGAGGACCCTGAATTTGGGATGTATGCATAATTGCATATAGATGGATGATTTGCATGCAACCTAAGGTTTTCACCTGTAAGGCTGACCCGTGGCACTTTATTTGCTAAAGGTACCTATATGATATTTTGACTAAGGCGACTGTGGTGAGGAAGAAAATTCCAGTTCTTATTCTCTGCAACAAGACAGACAAAGTAACAGCACATAGCAAGGAATTTATTCGGAAACAACTGGAGAAAGAAATGTAAGATTTGAACTCTTGTAATTATAGGTTTCTTTTCTCTGATTGATTATAATGTTTTACTCAAACTTTTCAATTCTGTATGGGACTAAATTAACTGGTAGTTATATGCACTCGTAAATCATTTCCTGCATCTTCATTTTTTTTATGAGAAATATCCACTGTCTTCATGGTTTCCAAGGAAGATAATTTCTTCTGATCAACATGTTTTGCTGTGATTTTCTAACTTTCATCCATGATGCATTCAAGACAAAATTTTCCATACAATTCTCTGTTGGTTTTGTTTTGTAAAGTGTTCATTCGCCGACAGGGCTCTATGATATGGTGATTTGCATTCATTATTCTGTTTCTGTTTCATAAATCTATTTCATTGTTCATTGTTCATTGTTCTGATACATTTGACATTTAACACCATACAGTGAGAAGTTACGGGCATCAAGAAGTGCAATATCAGCAGCTGATATTGCAAACGACTTTACCCTTGGAGTACCTGGCGAAGTATTTTCGTTCTCTCATTGCCAGAACAAAGTTACAGTTGCAGAAGCGTCTGGTCTAACGGGTGAAATATCTCAGGTGGAGCAGTTTGTGAGGGAGCATGTGAAATCTTAGGATGTGTCGTCTCCTCCATTTGATGAATTTGTGATACTTTTTCTTTGAGGTTGGGTTGAACATTGTCTATTGATGATTGAAAAAACTGACTAGATGTGCAAAATGGGTTCAACTTTTTTTCCAAGGGAAGTGAAGGGAGGATGGAAGGAATTCAACAGAAAGGAAGAGAGAGCAAGGAACAAATAGATTCATGAGACGTAATACCGACGACTGTTTATGGTTGATTTATTGTGCTTAAATTGATTGATTATGATGCACGGCTCAACTTGTGCTTAAATTGTTTCGTTGATTTTCATACTGTATTTGCACGTTGTCGAAATCAGCTCAGCTCGTCGGAAATCCAGCATAGTTTTGCCTTTGCTGTTGTTTCCGACTACCATTTCACGGTTTCGGATTTCAAAAGAGCCGTTGATATGTTATGCGTTCATTTTAAACCATACATGAGTGAGTATACTAGGGATCTTAGCTGGTGAACCACTTTGAAGAATGAACAGAAAGAACTCCTAAAGTGTCGATAAACTCTTACGGTATTTTCTCCGGTCCTTCAACTTCACCCCATGTTGCATGAGTGAAGTTTGCCTTATTTTCTATCGAATCCCTCACTCTTATGGAAAGGACCACTCGTGCAACGCCAAATCCCTCACCCTCCTGGAATTTAAATACCTCGTCCATCTAAGGAGTCCAATTCAGGAGTTGGATTTCTTATTTCGCGTGGGCACCGCCACTCTCTTGATTTCTTCAAAGTTAATAATCGCTTTACTACTCTGTAATCAAAATTTAACTCCTTGTCTCAATTTTTTTACTTAAACTCATCATAAAAGGTTTAGGGACGAAAACTAAACTCGGGTAAACTTTAGAAACATTTGTGACAATTTTTTTTTTAGTACAACGATATATTTTACACTAAGGGGAGGGAGAGTTTGGCTAACCACACAATGGGTAGCCTAATTTGGTATAGAGTTCGTCATCTACGAGATTCAAACTTGAAACTTTTTACTTACTAGTAAAGAGGAATACCACCCGCCGTTGTACAAAGTGACTTTCTCACAATTTAAGCTACAAACAAATAACTAAAAGAAAAAGGCAAAACGACCTATTTGTAAGTTGGTTTGAGGACTTGAGGAGAAGAAGTGGGTAAGAGGATGATGGATGGATGGGGCCAGTCAGTCACGGGCCTAGTTAAATTGCGTTTGCGTGTGTTTGTGTGTGTGTGTAGACATAGTCAACGGATGTAAAGTAAAAGGAGTGAATGAATCCGATTGGCCACTGGGCATTGGTGGGGCCCACGTCGCGGCAGCCGGTGGTGGGTTCGCTTCGGGATGGGGCCGTCCCTGACCACAGACCACCATGTAGTAATATAATATTATATATAGAATTCACGGGCGCTACAACCCTTCATGCTTGCATGCATGACATGTTGATTCTTTCTTGATCCAGACAAAAGCAAGTCTGTAACAGCAAGAAGTAGAATTAGATGAAACGAGAGCCACGAATTAAGAAACCTAATCATTCACAAGCTTGAATTAATTAAGATCCAACGCCAAGGAACATCATCTTACCTCTCTTTCTGTCTGTTTGTCCTGCTCTCTCGATCGTTCTCCTCCACAGAAAATATTCACCCGTCCCATGCCATCATTTTCATTTCTTTTCTTCTTCTTTTCCCCTTCAAATTTCAATGGACGGGGAAATGTGGAGGAAGGGCAACTTTCCACTTGCGCTATTGCATATGAAGAGGTATCAAATTAATTCATTGGGTTATTAACGAGTACTTATTACGATCTGTTTAATTTGATATCACCATAATATTTATGTGAGGTTGGTAGTGATGATGATGGTGCAATGTGAAATCAAACTAAATAAATTTTAACATGTACCCATTAACAACGTAATAGGTTGATTTGCTATCTTTATGCATATGTATATGTCTATTTTGTTGAAATGAAAACTCTTTAAATTCGTAGTATTTTGAAAGTAGACGAGAAGGACTTTTTGTTTTGTGAAAATTAGAAGAGGATTATCTCATTTGAAAATGATTGGAATGATCATAACGTTTCTTTTTAAGTAATTTATCTCCTACTTTCAAATTAATTACAAAATTTTCATTTCAAAACGAAGCCGTAGGGATAAATCCTACCAGTACATAGGGTATAACATGATTTCATCTCAGCCACAAATTGAAGGCCCAACGGGGCCCCTGGTTTATGCCCTTGCTCAAGTCCCTAGCTGAGCTAGGGGACCTGCACTCCTACTCCTACACATAATTCCAAATTGATGATGTGGGCACTTACTCTAATCTCCCTTACTTAATTACCTAATTAAACATGAATTTCATCAATTAGCAGCAGGGTTCTTAGAGTAACAAAACAAAACAAAAAACAGAATAGTAGATAGCAATCATCTTTAATTTTAACCACCTCGAAAGCCATTTTTGTTTTGTTTTAGTTAATTAATTAGCATTTCAAGTTTAAGAAAATTATTAACAATATTTCTCCAGAAATAAAGGCTTTGATAATTAGGTTCCAGCTGGATGTAAAGTGTTAACACAGCATTATCGCATGGTCCCAAGGATAAGCGATCGCTAGCATACAAATACGATGTCGTATAATGTAGAAACAAAACAAACTTTCATATATATATATATGATATACACACACTTGTATTGACAATTGTGGAAGAGCAAAAGTTGATTGTGTAAAAGAACAAAGTTTACACCGAGAAACTGAGAGATGCCACTTACCAAGGCCACGTGAACTTTCTGCAATTCTGCATATGCAACTTTCCAGGACAAAAATCAAAACAGAAACATAAAGCTTATGTTGGAGAGATTTTTCTCAATGCATGGAACACCGGCATATCTCATTTGTCATTATATAATTGGAACGACGTTCAAAAGAAAAATTTATCTCTATTTAAATAATGATATATAGTGTATTACTGTATTATCATATATTTCGAGCACTTTGAAAACCTCTCTTTATAATGAGCACATGTAAGTGAATCTTATAGAAATAACTTCTAAGATGTCCAATCAATTGAGGTTCAAATGAGATAAAGCTTATCTTAAGTTATATGATTATGATAACTCTCACACTAAATACGATCCATATTTTATTGAACCACAAGAATAAGTACATGAAGTTTCATAGTTTTGTGATATATACCTTGCCAATGACGTGTTTGCCCGCATATGTTTTTTCTACTCTCATATATACAATTAATAGGAATGTTAATAGTCTTTTTATTTTACCTTTTCGGCTTTATTTCTCATGTTCCAATATTGCATGATAATAAACTGTCTAATTTTTTTTATACATTGCCCTTGAAAGATAATCTCTACAAATATTAACTGATATTTGAAACTATTTAGTCATATAACAATATTTAGTAAATAAATAAATTATGTTTCTCACTTAAAATTACCGATAATCAAACGGTTCAATAATTTATATTTTGGTTGAATTTTTTAGAGTTGATATTTAAATTGTGATTTAAAAATTAGACAGCTCCAAGCTACAAAAATATTAAAAGAATAACTAAGAATGTCAAGTGAAAAGTTTGCTAGCATCCTATTTAATTAAGGGTAATGCTAAGGAGATTAAATTTGTAAACAAAATTTTGGAAAATAAATGACATGAAAGTTGATGATTGATTTATTACTTAAGCGTTGATAAATGTGCTCATTCCTATTGGTGACACATCATTTAATTTGCAAATTTATCTCCGAATTTAGTCTCCTTAGCATTATCCTCTAATTAATCACTTTGCAATACTCATATCCTATCCATGTATTTTACAGGTTAGAAGAGAAGATTAAAAAATTAGAGGAAAAATTAGAAAACATAAATTAGGAAAAAGAAACAACAAGGCAATGTAGTAGCTAGCTGGAACCCTTGTTTACCCAAAAAAAGAAAAAAAAAAGAAAAAAAAAAAAAAACTGGAACCTTATATTTAGCACTGAGCTGAGCTTTGCAGAGACAAACAGGAAGTAAAGAAAAAACAGAGAGGCAAACAAGAGAGAGAGCTCTTGAAATCTTCAATGAAGAAACAAGGCAGTGAGATTGAGGCAGTAGGCATCTCCTACAAGATTAATCACACACCCCACCGCAACTTCTTCAACATCTTCAGCCAAAACAAACAACCTGCTTCTGCTTCTGCTTGTGCTGCAAAAGTGGCTGTAGTAGCAGTTGAGGATGATAGAAGATCATCGAGAGGAAGAGCAGGAGGAGTTGGTGGGCAAGAAGTCCTCAAGGACGTCAACTTGCGAGCAAGGCCATGGGAGATCCTCGCCATTGTTGGTCCCAGTGGAGCTGGTAAATCTTCCCTCCTTGAGATTCTCGCCGGCAAACTCACCCCGCACGGCGGTTCTGTTTTCGTCAACCAAAAGCCTCTCCGCCAACCCTACTTCAACAAGGTCTCCGGCTACGTCACCCAAAAGGACACCTTGTTTCCTTTGCTTACAGTCGAAGAAACCCTAATGTTCAGCGCCAAGCTCAGGCTCAGGGTTTCTCCCCTTGAGCTCAGCTCCCGCGTCAAGGCCTTAATCAACGAGCTCGGCCTCGCCCATGTCGCCGCCGCCAGAGTCGGAGACGACAGAGTTCGGGGGATCTCCGGCGGAGAGAGGCGGCGTGTCTCCATCGGAGTCGACGTCATCCACGACCCCGAAGTGCTCATCCTCGACGAGCCCACTTCCGGGCTTGACAGCACCTCCGCCCTTCAGATCATTGACATGCTCAAGACCATGGCTGAGACCAGGGGCAGAACCGTCATTCTGAGCATTCATCAGCCGGGATTCAGAATTGTGAAGCTCTTCAACTCAATCCTTTTGCTGGCCAACGGCTCCGTCCTCCACCACGGCACCGTCGATCATCTCGGCCTCAACTTAAGGCTCATGGGGTTGGAGCTCCCTCTTCATGTCAACGTCGTCGAGTTTGCAATCGACTCCATCGAAACCATTCAACAACAACACCATTCCGCACCACACAATAATATTCTTGTTCTTGATCGTCAAAGTCGAACTGGTAAGCTGACTCTGCAGCAGCTGTTTCAACAATCGAAGACCAATAATAGTAATGCCGGTGGCGGAGGCGGAGGAGGAGTAGTGCCACTTGAAGTTGACGACGATAAAATCACCAGTAATGAAGTTTTTCCCGATTTGGATTTTACTAATTCGAGACTGCGAGAGACGATGATCCTGAGTCATAGGTTCTCGAAGAACATATTCCGAACAAAGGAGCTGTTCGCGTGCCGGACAATTCAGATGCTCGTCTCCGGACTAGTTCTAGGCTCCATCTTTTACGACCTCAAAGACGATCGCACCGGAGCCGAGGAAAGGGTAGGTCTATTCGCATTCATTTTAACGTTTTTGCTGTCGTGCACGACGGAAGCACTGCCGATATTTCTTCAAGAGAGGGAGATTCTGATGAAGGAGACTTGTTGCGGAAGCTACAGGGTCTCGTCTTACGCCATCGCCAACGGATTGGTTTACCTGCCCTTTCTACTAATCCTGGCCGTCCTTTTCACTCTGCCGCTGTACTGGCTGGTCGGACTCAACCCTAACTTCACGGCCTTCTTCCATTTCTTGTTGTTGATATGGTTGATACTATACACTGCGAATTCCGTGGTGGTGTGTTTCAGTGCACTCGTGCCTAATTTCATCGTGGGAAACTCGGTCATTGCCGGCGTCATGGGGTCTTTCTTTCTCTTCTCCGGTTACTTCATCTCCAAGCATGAGATTCCCGGGTACTGGATTTTCATGCACTACATATCGCTGTTCAAGTATCCATTCGAAGGGTTTCTGATAAACGAGTTCTCAGGGTCGGACAAGTGCTTGGAGTATTTCTTTGGGAGGTGTATGGTGACGGGAGAAGAAGTTCTCAGAGATGAAGGGTATGGGGAGGAGAGCCGGTGGAGGAATGTGGCGGTCATGGTCTGCTTCGTCTTGTTTTACAGGTTTATTTCTTATGTCATTCTTAGATGTAGATGTCGATGCTCCCAGTCCCAAAGGGGCTTCAAACCTACTCCTCCTCCTACGCTCACTGCACCTCCTTTTCTTTAACTAGTAATTGTATGATTATATATATATGATTGTATTATTTTGTGCTCACTCATCCATCTCTCTCTCTCTCTCTCTCACTCTCTCTCTCTCTCTCTCTCTCTCTCTCTCTAGATTTCTTTTTCTCTCTGATCACGAGTGTGATATGGATGATGGTTCACAATTCACATGTCCTTGGAATTTAGTAGTTTGAGATGAGATAGCATCCCAAGAAGAAAATATCGCTTCATAAGAAACAAAAATGAAGGAGCGACCTCAAGCTAACATGGCTCCTTGTTCTACAAGGATCAAGAGATGGACGTCTATCGTATACAATCTTACTTTAGCTTTGCAAAGAGACTGTTTCCACGACTCGAACCAGTAACGTTTTGCCCACAAAGGAGCAACAAAAATTAAGAAGCAAAATATGCATAACATCCTCTAACAATTGTAATAACATCCATTTGAAAAGTTGCCACTAAAATGCAACAAGGTGCCAATAGCATAAGCTGCATAGTCAACAAAATATGCACGACTAGTTCCAACTTGCTACGAATCGAAAAAAAAATCCTCATTATATTAGCAGCAACTCGTACTGTAATGGTACAATACACGGTACAACAGGCAGAGTCCGAGCGTACAATTCTTGCTCTCCCTCTGTATATTTTTCGTCATATGAATAACACCTATATGAACAACTAGAATTCGATTCAGCGGGAAATGGATTCGCAATTGGTGCTTCACCTTATATTCTATCAAACGCTGAAACTTACAAAACAAAGGAATTTCATACCAGATAAAACAATTGGCCTTCTTATCAGGCCATGAAGAATATCGGATTTGGTTATACGACGTGGCAAGGCCGCCGCCTCCTATATCTGCGCAACAAGGAGTTCATTCCATGCATCTGGAATTCCAGGTAAGCACCAGTGTAAGCAATCATTTGTGCCTGCATTTCCTTTTCCTCTAATGGTATAGTGGGATATGTGACCTTCGTCTCTCAATTGAGAAATGGCAGTTATATCCAGTAACTTTACTTTTGTACCTTTCAAAGCACCCTCGATCACTGAATCACTGGATCCTTCCTGGACTACTTCACTTCCTCCTACCAACGGAGTAGTATTGTCGCAGGTACCCCCAGTATTCCAGTCACCATTGAAGAAATGCCTCGGTGAAATAGTCCGAAAGAAAGCTTTTAGGCGGGGATGTGATGGTAGTTGTGAATCAACCCACCTGGCAATACTGTACACGGTAAAATTCTTAGCATTCCCAATTTCTGCACGCTTCTTGTCTTGATTGGGCTTTCCGTTTACATACATTACCCACCTGTTACCATTAATCTTTCCCCTATTCCAATGATGCCCTGTATTAAGAACCAGCACATCAAACCGGTGAAGGTATTGTCTCAAGAAAGCTGGGGGACGATCCAAATGCATGGCAATATCACTGGCTCGGTCTGAGATGTTAAGGGGCACCAGATCACACAGGCTTGCTGACCAATAATATAAGATAGTGGTATTGGTGTTAGAGAATCGATAAGCCCAGCCATCGGGACGAATGGCTCCCCGACGTTTGACAAGGCCATATTCCTTTCCGACATTCTCAACTTCGGGGCTTTCTTCTCCGCCAGTTGTCATACACATCAAAGACTGGAACTGCTGTCTACCCAATGAATCTCCTATGAAAGCAATCGTTTTGTCCTGCATCCTGAAGGGCACATTCACATTTAGAAGACAGACCACAGCATGATAAGCCATTTCTCTGTATTGCACCAAATCTCAAATTCGGGAGAACAATGGTCCATATTGTTGAAAGGATTTAGAAGTAAGATCGTATGAAATGATTCATTCACGACTCAGGGAATATTCTAGACTTCTAGTTGAAAATTTTAGGTGTGCTTGAAGTGGAAACCAAGGGAAATTATATGGTTTCAGTCCAAAATTCAAATAAGTTCAGACAGAAAAGAATTACCTTCTCAAGAATGCAGAGCGTTCAAAATCTGGTATTTCACAATTTGCTGGCTTCCATTGGTAACCCTCAAAAGAAAAATCTGTTCGTTGTGTCAATCTACACGCCCACATTTCTGATAACCACTGCTTACATTTAAACCCAGAATATAAGGGGTGCCTGCTGTCTGCAACCCATCTACCCTTGGCATAATCACACACTGCATAGGTGAAAACTCCACAAGCTTAGGAAACATTGAACCATGAAGCACGAGATGATAAATCTGAGAAATGGAAACCTTTCAACATAGCAGAGAAACAGCGTAAACAACAACTCTACAGATGGATAAGGACTTTCCGGTGAAAAAATACATGCATAATGTATTTATATTTATGTGAACTTCAACATAGTTTAATTGAACAACTCTGCCATTACTATTGTAGTGTATTATTCAACAGGAGTCAAAATTTACAAGAGTCAACGACTCAAGTGAAACAAAACGAGAGCAAACCACTGAAGTGATGAAAACAAGAGCAAACCACTCAAGTGATGCAAAACAAGAGTAAATGACTCAAGTGATGCATAGCAAGAGTAAATGACTCAAGTGACATAAAACTGAGAATTCTGATGTTCAAGAAAGTGCTAGGTTAAAATTTGGTTCAGAACACTTTCACCCAAGTGTTTCTTAGATCCTTCATATCAAACAAATTCTTCAATCTTCTCTTCAATAGAAACAATCCAATAAGCAACAGGTATTATGCAATTGATGGCTTGACACAACTTTATGTCGTTCTAAACCATAACATGATATGTTAAGAGTGAAATCATTTTTTCACTTGACCGTGAAATACATGGTACTGTCTTTTAACTATTTATTTGATTTTCGTTTTTCCTTTCTAAATTAGGGAATGCAGCAGATTTTGTCTCCATTCATAATATCTCCAAGACCTCCTTCCGCTGAAGTTGATTTGGTTAAAATTAAATGTAGCAGCCTTTTCCATACCATTGTAGAGAGAGAGAGAGAGAGAGAGAGACAGGTTTTAGGGCATCTTTTAATTATGCAGTACCAAACCTCAAATCAGATCTCATACTGTGGTAACATAGGGCCTCATCAGATTACCACTATAAAAGTAAAGCCAGTTTATATTTTGAAGAATTAGTTGCCACTAAGCCCAGAAAAGTTTGCTCTCAACTTTGTGCACAAAGAAAAAAGAATATGAAAGGAGAAATTACTATTTCACTTTTGGGGGATCATCAATCCATAAAACTGATTCACACACTGGTAAGGAATAGGGTTGGCATGTATCCATCCAGTAAGACAATCAAACAAGGCAAAGAATATATATCTTCAAGGAAATTAGCTGCAGCAGGACAAGGTATATAATAATATGTAAATGTTATGTGCCTAACCAGAATTAGGTTCAGCCTGACCGGTTTCCATAGACACCACTTAGAAATATAATTTTCAACAAACATCAACAAGAATACAATCATTCCATGTCAAATGAGCTATTGGCGTGAAATCATCATGGTAAACTGACCGCCAATCAATACTGTCTACAATTTTTTTTTAATAAGAAATACAATTCAGAGAGACAAATTTAATGTACTATTCTATTCTATGGGACCCCTCAATTGCATAGTAGTCCATGAGCAATAAAACAATAAGATAACCGTAATTACCTACAAAAGTTAACAATAATGAAGCTTACAGCCCTATGAGAAAGGAAGCTATACCTTTAGTTTGGAAAGATGTCGCATTCCCATTACTTTCTTGCATTCCAGGAGAGAATGCATACATAGAATCTATTGGGGCAGTGCCAAACTTTTCTACTACTTTTGTATCTTCTGCTGTATGCAAATGTAAATCCTTCCCTTTAATATTTCCATTTGTCTTCATAGGTTTGGAGGAATTATTTAAGTCTCCAAAAAAATCTGAATAAAAAATGAATAAAAAATCATCAGCTGGCAGACAAAGAAGCAGGTATAAGATGAGGTCAGTCCTTGCAGCATTGAAGACGACTAGTTCATTTCAAAAGACAGTAAAACAACAAGGGAAGAACATGAGTGGTCAAGAACAACACTATAAAAGAAAACACAAAAAAGTTACCAAAAAACTAAAAGTAGACACAGCCATCCAGACTAAAGAACTCCAGCCTGCCAGTCACGCCAATATACTAGAAAAGGAGATGTGCTTAAACTCCTTAGAAACAGAAGCCCAAAAGGCTGACCAAAACTGACCTCCTTTCAGCGCTGACTGAAGAGGCAGGCAAAACTAGTGATAAATAGCTGAAACAGCAGTCTTCAATCACTTAGCAGACATTTTAGCATTTACTAATGAGGTCAACTAGTGAGCCTTAGATCCTAATTACTTTGACAGATAAGAAAGTTAGCATTTACTATAGCTTTCAAGAGTCGTTTAGTAAACAAATAACCACGAATCATGTCATTCTCATATCTTCATTTGGCCTTTCCTTCAGCACTGACCAACTAGACAGGAAAAACATTATTTAATCTCACCCTAATTTGTGATATTTTCATGCAAGCAATAGTTATCTACATATCCCGCATAGCCACCAAAGTTCACCCATCATCCTATCCTAATTCTAACTTTTTTCTATAATAAACAAGCATTTTGACATTTATTTTATCCTTATGTCAATTTCACTTGTACAGAAAATAAGTTTCTAAAAACCTGTGAGTTTCTCCAAAGAATAGTCACTAGAGTACTATAACAATCATGTCATGTGCAGTCCAGCCATTCATTATTATCTATCACAGATGAATCATGGATGAAATAAAATAAAAACCGCACTCAGGTACTTCATGGCCATCACTTTTCTTGTGTAATTTTATTGTCATATGCAATAAAATATTGTTTCCTCCATAAAAGATGCTAGTATGGGGAGTTACAAGGATTATCAAAATTTAATAGGCAATATAAATAGGTAATGTTTTGGTACAGTTGCCTTCTCATTTCTTATAACTACTTTATAAGCTTTCTGCAGACAAGGAATCTTGTTTTCTTAGTGTTGTGGTATTATTAAAGGTGCGATCGCTGAAAATCATCACTAGATGATAGATCACATTAATTTTTCATTGCCTTCTCACATTATCTGGAAAGT